CATAGTTATGATTTATATTTAGGTCTAACGGCTCTCGTTGATCTTACTTCACGTTGTTCTTTAGTCTCCACTTGTCCACCTACTGCACCTTCTTCTTTTCCCATCTCTATTTGGTCCTCTTGAAATTCAGTTAAGGTAGTCTCTTCTTCTATCTCTGTTTCTCTTCTTTTAAAAAATTCCTTATAAAACGATTCTGCTTCATCAATTGAGCCAATTCTGTATCTCTGTTCTTTCCATGTAACCATTAATCCTTCTGGAATCAACCATCTGTAATTCACCTCCTTTTCCAATAATACTTTAGTCAGGAAACGATATTCTCTCCTCATCTCTCTAATTTTTCTGGGTACTTGTTTTAAAACCCCAATCTCTTTATCTCCATATTTCAATGTCTTCTCTCTTGCCGCTTGTAATATCTGTGTTCTGATAGATTTTTTAGTAAATCTAACATGAACTTCTCTTGGTAACTTATTCCTCGATGCATATCTTGTAAAAACTCGGTATATCTCATCTATTCCATCCATCATTTTTTCCTCTGTTATTTCCAAAGCTCCAGCCAAGATTTCTATCATTACTGCAGCAAGATCTTGTCCTTTTTCTTCCTCTATATTTTGAAATCTGAGGTAATATTCTGATCTATCCATCTCCCACTTCACCATCTCATTCTTGTTTTGTTCAAGCGTTGTCACTCTGTCATCAATATTTCCAATTTTCTCATCTCTTTGATTGTCTTTCTCTTCTAATTTTTGCAATTTCTCATCTCTTTGATTGTCTTTCTCTTCCATTTTTTGCAGTCTCTCATCATACTTCACCATCATCTGTTGGATATTTTCAATTTTTTGTTCAATACTCCCCATCCTTTGTTCAATACTCATTTTAAGTTCTTGAATTCCTTGCATAACCGTCGTTAGATCCGTTTGTCCTTTATCTTGCTTCGCCATTGTTGAAAGTCGTCCTCCAGTTGATGGGGAGGCAGGAGCAGAAGTTGATGCGCCAGAAGGTAGAACTTTCTTACTCATTTGAATAACTCAGAATCTTCCCACTCTTTTAATCCAGTTGGCAGTGTAACAATTATAATCCAATTAGGGAAAGGAAAAACGTAAAAAAGAAAAATCAGTAAAAAAAAAACAAAAAACCAAAATTTAAAAAGGAAAAAAGTTTCAAGGAAAAAAGAAAAATTTCTTTCTTCAGGTTCTTCTAGACCTTAATCCTCAGTTGCAATAGTCAAAAGGAGAATAAAACCCAATAATATTAAAAAAATAACAATAATAATAAAAGGAAAAGAAAAGAAAAATTCTTCAGGTTCTTCACACCTTAATCCAATTGCGAAATCTCAAGAAAAAAAAACATGGCCACAAAAAAAGAGTATATACATACAAAGGTAAAAAAAAGCAAAAGTCCCCCCCCCAAAAAAAGAAAAGAAAAAGGAAAAAAGAAACAATATTCTGAGGCTTTCCCTTTAGAAAAAAAAAATGAAAAATAATAATAATAGTAATAAGCAAAAGTGTACAAATATTACAAAATACTATAGGGTTAAGGAGGAGGGATAAAAGCTAACAACAAGTAAAGCAAAAATCACACTGCATTTTATTTAAACATCCAAGGCTCTTATTATGGCTTCTCCACAAGTTTCAAAGCCAAGCTTCAAACATTCAGTTGATTGTAGAAATCCCAAAGAGACACCTGTGAAAACATTCTCCAGAGTTCCTCTCTCTATCTTATCAACTCAGTGTCCTTGGGAGAGAGTTTCTCACAGTTCTCTCAACTTCAAGTAAAGTATTTTCAAGCCTCTAGTTGGCAGTGTTGCAGAGTTACAAAGTTTCTCAACTCCACTCCCCCTTCTTCCTCCCCCCCAAAAAAAACCAATAGAAAAAGAAAATATGTATATATATATGTGTATATTTAAAAAAAGAAAAAATTACTAAAGGAAGCCTCTATTAAAAATATAAACAGTCAAAAAGGAAAGGTAATTATAGAAAAAAAACAAAAAACCAGTCTGGTTACAATTACTAATCACAATAGAAGTTCGCTAGAAAAAAAAAGTAAAAAGCCAAGCCTCATTTTGACATCTCCTAAAAAATCGCCACTAAGTCCATCTTATCAAATTCTGTCAAAAATCTTACAGATTCCTTCTTCTTCTAGGGTGTCCTTATCCCAAATAAAAAAAATAAATCTCACCAGCCGATACACTTTCTCTTTCTTTCTTCTCTTCCTTTCGGAGCTGTCCCTGCTTCAGCAGCTTAATGGCTGCCTCTCCGCCGATGGTAAAGGGGCTTCTTCTGGATCCACCAGGGACTTGCGATGTCCCTGTGATCAACAGAACGCGCCCCTTACTATCACCGTCTCTACGGGACGGTTTAGGTCCGTTGGGACCGACCAGGGGCGAAGATATCAGCTGTAACTTCGGAGCCCCGAAATTACAGCTGTAACGCGGCGACGTGACTCCGCCTTCTTCCCATAATAACTCATATTATCATTCAAAAATTGAATACCCTAGTATCATTATTAATCAATCATTTGACTATAATTTTGTTCATTCATACTTTGCGAGATAACTATAATTTACTTAGTTTATTTTATAACAATTCATATAATCCTCCCAAATCTATCCTAGAAACATTTTATAGATATAATAATAATAAAAAAAGAAATACATCTTTATATATTCATTATTTTATAAAATTCTACATATTTTAATATTATGTTTTATTATCTAACCATTGATAGAAAAGGTCCCAAATTTTGTAAAATTGTTTATCCTCTTGTTCTCTAATTTCAAATGTCAATCTACTCATTTCAGCACATTCCAATATTTTCTTAATGGTTTCCTCCTGCGATGGTATTTTCTCATTTTTCCATTTTTTAGCAAATACAATCCTAGCCGCTGTTAATACATTTACAATCAAATATTTTAAATCTTTACTGTATGTATCAGGTAAAATTTCCAATAAAAATATCTCTGGTTTCAAATCTATATGTTTTTTTGTCATTTTTTCCAACCACATGTGGATTTTAGTCCAGTATTTTCTAGCATCCGCACAAGTCCACCACATATGGTAATATGAGCCAGGTATCTGATGACATTTCCAACATTTTTCAGATTTATTCTTGAACATTCTTGCTATTCTTGTCGGGGGGGAAAATGCCACCTGTAAAACATCTTATACAAATTTATACACATCTTATACAAATGCTGTTGACATTGTCATTTTATAATTTTGGGACCACAGTTTTTGCCATTTCTCTAAATTAATCCCATATCCAAAATTCTTCCCCCAAGCAATCATAGTTTCTTTAACTCGTTCTTCTTCTAGTTTAATTTCTAATAGATATCCATACAATCTTTTAATCACCTTTTCATCAGTACCTGTCAAGATCTTATCTAAGTCAGTCAATTTATAATAAAATCCTTCTGTTTTGAAATCTTTATCATACCTTGAATGTATTTGCGCATATGAAAACCAATTCATCTTTATACCTTGTTCCTCTAGTTTTTGCATAGATTTAAGTTCACCCTTTTCATTCAAAATTTCCCCATATCTAACTGTTTGTTCCTTCTTGTATATTATAGGATAGGAAAATGCTTCAATAGTCGATAACCAGACTGGAATTTTCAAATAACATTGTCTTTTAATCTTCTCCCAATTTAACCACAGAGACTCCCGTATATGATGTCTTCTAAAATAGCCCTGTGTTTTGGTTCCCTTATACCATAAAAAAGCATGCCACCTATTTTAAATCTTTCTTATAAAATCAGTATTTAATTTGCTTTCAGCATATGTAATTTATAACAGAAAAGCAAGCATAATGTGACTTTTCATTATTGCACTGGAGGAAAAATCCATTGCTACACATGATGGTTAACGTTTTACTCTTGGGTGCTTTATGTTTGAGGGTCAAAGAGTTTAAATCAATATACTGACCTCTTGTTGCATAACTACTAATCAAAAGATAAGGAACACTCATTTAGATTTTTCATCTTTCAGCTTCTGTTCTATTCTGATTTGCTTAGATTGGTTCTTGGACTGTTTTTCAGTATGCAACTTTTCTGCAATGTACTTTACGGAAGGTCACCTGCAACAATTCACAAAGGTTTTGCCAGATTCCTTTATCACAAATGAGAACATTTGTTCTTTCATTATGACATCAGTTTGCCCATTTTGCAATCATGAAATATGCTGCGAATGCAATACACATAGCTCAAAAATCAGTGGCTTTCCTGATTCTTATACCTCATCATTTTTAGCGGGTTGAGAATTGCATCACTTATAATATCCTTGTGTAATTGGACCTTAACCCGAATAAAAGCATTTTTTTAAAGTTCCCGGCATTAGGCTGAAATTGTAACATTCTTTCTTGAAAGAAAACTTGCAATGAGTTAATTTTGTGAAACAGGATAAATGTAGATGCCCAACACTGAATTGCATCATTGGTGTTACTATCTTCCCTATTGTTTTACTCCAATGTTTCAGATCAAGGTTTCTTTCTATTTAGGATAAGGACCGATATCAACAAACATTTATAACAAATTGGGCAGTATGCTGGAAGTCATTTGGGGTACAATAACGTTCAACAAAAGGCACTGATTGTGCCCCATCAAATTGGTGTCAGGCATCCCCACCCCAATTTGCTCAACTGAAGTTAAAGATGGCTGGCAGAAAACGGGAACGATGCCATCCCGCAGGATCGTGCGAATAAGACCTCTCCAGGGGAAGCCAGCCCTCCCGAATGGAGGTTGTGATTCTTCACAGCAAGATCCAACAACTCAACTTTCAGCACACAACGCTGCCGGAGCTAGGGGCGGGCGGAGAGGAGCGCCTGAGGAAGCTCGTCCAAAGGCTGCCGCTGACTCGGCAAGCTCGGTCGCCTCGGCGGATCGGATGTTGCAATCTCTCGCCAGCTTTGCACTGAAGAAGGACGGGACAATCACGCCGCCTGCTCGTGGCCCACTGGTCAATAACTGGCCCGGGCTGCGAAACCCCGACCAATCGGATCGTGGGGAATTGCCATACCCCCTGCGAAAAAAACCAATAGAAAAGCAGAGCCTCTTGAAAAGCTCTGCCGTTCTGAGTTCGAGAGAGCTAAGAAGAAGAAGAGAGGAGATCGTCGAGGCAAGCAGAGGAGCTCCGCCGCTGGCAACCATGGACGCTAAGAAACACGTAGCCAATTTCGGCGCCGGACCAGCGAAGCTCCCACGATCGGTAGGTACTCCGAACTGTCGAAGGCATCCGGGATGATGTCCTATAAACGGAGCGGGAGAGTTGCTTTCCGCTTTTTAATTGAGGAGGATCGCCCCGAAGCTGGGGTGCCGCTGTGCCTGGAGAGTAAAAGCGTTGCTACCGAGTAAACCTTTGGTTTAAATAGGGATTACTTTACAACCCGAATGCCGAACGTTGCTCTCTTAGGTGCCCATCTTCAAGAGAGCAGCTTTTGGAAGGATGCTTGGAAGCTTTGATTGCGGGACTGTTGTTGGAAAGAGACGAACGGGGAGATACTTCTATCCTTTGCATCGGGCCAATTTATTTTCGTTTTTCACGAATACTTCGGATGCCAAAAAAGGTCAGGAAACGGTGCTCCTGTTGACGTGGTTGTCCTGGAAACTCCGTGTTAGGGATTTCAGTTACACTCTTCAAGCATGCTGATTTTACTCGATTAACTAAATTTCCTGGTATGCTTAGCACAGTATTGACTTTATCTTTTAATTTTAGTTTAAAGTAATAGAAACTTGGCATTTTGGTGTTTTACCTTTCCAAATCTGATGCAGTCCAAAAGACAAACAAAACCAGAACATTAACATTTACAAGTCAGACATTACTAAATGGAAAAAAAATAATATTTTTTTCTTTCAAAGATATATTTACAAACATATTGCCCACATTGCACGATTGCAGGATATTTTGTCTTTGTATTTACCCCCTTTTTAATTCCTAGCATTGGTGGGACCCAGTCAGATCTCCAACTTGTTAGTCATTTTCATTTCATTTTATTTCAGTCATGATAGGGATAGCAAGTTGTATTTCTGGCATAGCAGCAAAAGCTTATTGCTAATTGGTGCACCTCATGGCTTTAAGAATAGTGCATATTCAAGTTATTGTTGTGCCCCAGAGCATAAATTCTGATACGTACAAAAAAAGTAGGCTCTCCTGTTTTCCATTTGGGAAAACTAGAGTGTCTAATTGTTAATCATTTTGTTTGTGCATTCAAAAGAGGAGAGTATTGCAAAGTCCATTGTCTTCTCTTACTGAATAAATCCTTTGTGAATGTGTAGGGCACACATAATTATAGATACAGCAGGGTACAACTTCAGGCAGATTCATGCTAACAATAATTTCTAACCGTGTAACTCAATTTAATCCAAAAAGTTGCATCAGCAGCTGTCTTGATCCAATTACATTTGGAGGGTGTGGCTCTTTATATCTGGTTTTTCAGCTTTCCAGCAGACTTGCATGTCTAAACAGTTTAAAAAATAACTGAGGCCTAGAAAAAAGTGACACTGGTATCTATTTGGGTTAGTTAACATTTTATCTGGGACATACAACCCCTCCCTTTAAAAGAAACAATTTTCTCTGTGAACTAGCTTGTAAGGAGTGTCTGTGGTGATTCTCAATCATCCAGGTCATGGTTGTCCCAAAGACTTTTTCAAAAGGCAACTGGACTTTCTTGGTTTTTTTTTTTCCTTGACGGAGTTTCATTTCTCATCCAAGAAGCTTCTTCAGTTCTGACTGAATGGAGGGGAATAGAAGGATTTATATTTTTTGCAGTCAACTGCAAAGCACTCTTCGAGTTGTTAAAGCCACTTGGGTGTTTATCTGTACCTCAGGGTAACCTGAATCCCCTTTTAAAGACATCAAATTCCACATTCTGGACAGAAAAGACCACTGGTTTGAAAGAGAGGCTCAAGAGCCCATTGATGTTAAAATTGAACAGCCCTCTCTTAACAGAGGGAGAGGGATACAATCAGTGGCAGATTAAGGCTCACTGATGCCCTACACATTCACAAATCTTGGTGCCCCTTCCTTTGTACATACTGTACAAATGAAGCCAAGCTTAGGCTACATAAAAAGTTTTTGTGGTGCCCCTTTGGGCCTGGTGCCCTAAGCACGTGCTTAGTCTGCTTAATGGTTAATACACTACTGGATACAATACCACCTATCTCTTATCTACAACATAATCCTTTTAACACTCCCAAGAAGGTTCCACACTAGAGGTGGTATTCAGCAGGTTCTGACCAGTTCTGGAGAACTGGTAGCAGAAATTTTGAGTAGTTTGGAGAACCGGCAAATACCACCTCTGATTGGCCCTGCCCCCATGTATTCTCTGCGTCAGCTGATTGGCTGCACAGGAGAATGGAGCTGGAAAGCAGGTTAGTGAGGTGGGGAGGGAATGGGGATTTTACAGTATCCTTCCCCTGCCACGCCACCAAGCCACGCCCACAGAACCCATAGCAAAAAATTTTTTTTATCCCACTACTGTTCCACACCCATTTGTAACTCTGATTCAGGTGACCTTGAGAGTACAGATAAAACCCCTCAACTACTCTCAAAAACGGACCAGAGTGCTAACAAGACCCAGAGTGCTAAATACTTCCATTTCCCCACCATTCAGTCAGAACCGAAGAAGCTTAGCAAAATATTTTCAAAAAAAAAAAAAACACCTTGAAAAAAAAGTCCAGTTGAGTTTTGAAAAGCACCTTTAGGATAGCTAGTAAGGATTACTGTACTGTGTCTTATTTCAGAATTGAGTAGGATTAGCTGAATTTTTTTTATCATATTTGATGTTTAGCAAGACATCTGAAAGCCCTGGTGTAATTGGCTGTATAAAGACATCCTTATTTCTCAATTAGGTTTGGATGGAATAAATGGATGGATGGATGGATGGATAAATAGATAATTTTCTGAAAATGGCAGCCTAAATGGTTAATTTAAAGGTTAACCCTTCAGGGAGTCCAAATCTATAGCTGATGATCCCATTATTGAAGCCAGCAAATCATAGTAACTCAAAAGAGTGTGCAAACGTTGAAGATCTAGCAAACCCTTTACAGTTTAATGTAACAAAACAGACAATGATTTTTTTATGTTCTAAAAGAGAAGGATGAATGATAAAAGTTGTTTTATGAATAACTCATCCAAGGTAAAAGTGGTGTAAATGAGGATTTTACTATGGTCTGCTGAACTTACTGTAGTCTGCTTAGCTTTAGAACATGGATCTGTTTGGGCTGCCAGACACTCATGGAATTTTTGTTCACATGTTTCAACTCTTGCAGCACGGCAATTGCAATTGTGGTCTTGTTAAATTGCAGAATAATTGTTACAGAAGTCCTCATCAGTTATAAAACACTGGTTTATACAAACTCTCTGGCCAGTTCTGGCTCTTGTTTTGTTTGTTGTTCTGTTATTTATTTATTATGGTATTTATACCCTACCTTTCTTTCTGTTGGACAAAGGTAGCGTACAATAGTAAATGAAATGTAAATTATAAAGAAAACAGCATCAATATAAATAAAATCCAAATATAAAAATTGTTAGGGGGGAAGCGTGGGAAAAAAGATGTGCTTTTATCAGTTTCCTTAGTACTAGGAGATTGGGGGAGAAGTCCATCTGCTTTCTTTCTTAATCTTTTTTTCTGGCAGTAGGGATACTTCAAAAATAATTGGTGGGCTGCAGCTGCGTATTTTTTTTTTTTGTACTTCTTAAGAAAATGTATAACCAAAATAATGTTTGTTTCCTTAAGTTTTCGTGGGTATTTATATTATGGTGTTCAGCTTTGTTCGGGTATGACATGGGAAAATACCCGAACAAAGCTGAATACCATACAAAATAATGTTTATTTCCAGATATAATCTTGGAAATAAAGATGGTGAAATTACTCGGTATTATAAAGCACATACTTCCCAACATGGAAGCTCATGATCAAACTTTGGCATCTCAGCTGATAGAAACATCCAGAACTGTTACCACTCAGATCGGGCAATAAATACCTGACTAGGATCTTAGTAGAATTATACTATTTACTCTTGGATAAATCTTAAAGCATACATGTTAAGATGCAAACAATAACGAATCTAAGTAACTTTCTCTCTGTAGAACATATGATTTGCCTATGACATGAGCATAATTATGTCAAATATTTTTTGCAGGTCCTGTTGGAAGCCCAGAAAGAATTGGTGGATTATAAAGGCCTTGGTATTAGTGTCCTTGGTAAGGAACTCATCTTTATTTTGGGTATTACCGAAAATGAAAATGTAGGGAAACAACTGCCACAACGAACAGGGGATCACCCTATTTTCCAAAGTACCAGAAGGCAGGACAAGAAACAAAGAATGGAAACTAAGCAAGGAGAGAAGCAACCTAGAATTAGGGAGAAATTTCTTAACAGTGAGAACAATTAACCAGTGGAGCAGTTTGCCTTCGGAAGTTGTGGGTGCTCCATCACCAGAGGCTTTTAAAAAGACCGGATAACTACTTGTCTGGAATGGTATAGGATCTCCTGCTTGAGCGGGATGGTGGTGGACTAGAAGACTTCCAAGGTCCCTTCCAACTCTGTTATTATGTTGCAAGTAAAGGATCAAACACTCAGTTGATCCAAAAAAAGGGAACCTTTGCTCGTGGGAAAACTCTAGGACAAAAAGGGGGAAAAAAAAGATCATTAGAGAGGCCGAGCAGTATTTAAGTTGTTTTGATCCTGTTGCAGCTTTCCTGCACTGCCAACCCTTGTAATGCCAACCCTTGTTACTGTTCCCCATTTAAGTTCACTAATGAAATGAACTGAGGTTTCAACTGCTTCAGCTCTTTCTTCTGAATAGAAAATTTATTCTATTTCACTTTATTATTCTTATTCTTTATCACTTCGATGGGCATGGGAATGTTTGTGCATTCTTGTGTCTGAAAGTCCTTTCCGTGATGGGAGCTGATCTATGCGCCCCATTTTTGCAGCCTTAGTTCTTTTGCTTCTATTGAGCATATGAAACATGATACGTAAGTAGAATGTGCTCACTGGTGCATGTGATAGATAATTCCTCATTTGGGCCCGAGCTCCATTTATCCATGACATCCTTGTGGAGTTTAGCAAATTAATTTGTCTGCTCTGTTTACAGTTTCTTAGGTGCTTTTAAGCTGACTGAAGAAAGCCAAGTTAAAATGCAATCATTTGAAAAGCTATGGTATGTTTGTTTTTATAACATGATATCTTTGATTTCCTTTCTGTAGAAATGAGTCACAGAACATCTGATTTTTCAAAAATCATCAAAGCCGCTGAAAACTGCTTACGTGAACTCCTGTGAGTTATCCTGTTTATTCACGCCATTAAAAGCCTGACTTCTGAAAATACTGTAGCTGCAATATATGTTTTCCCTTTGGATGTATAATATATTTACGATGTTTCAATGAAACATTATATGTGTATGGCTTATTGCTACAGAAATAAAATGGGACACTTTGTAAATTTGTTTTTGGCATGGATTGTTATACATTTTTTTTTTCAGGCAGGTTCTTTTATCATTTTTGTTTTATGATAGCTTGTAACAGCCATGTATTACAGTGGTGGGATTCAAAAGTTCCAACCACTGGTTCTGTGGGCGTAGCTTGGTGGGCCTGGCTGCAGGGGTGGGATCGTGCGACTTGTGCGATCGCGTGTGTGTTCGTTAAACACACACTTTGTGCACGCGTTAAAACAGTAAAAACTAAGCTGCTGCACTTCTCAGCTGTTTAGCACAGCAATCCGCTCTGCCGTGCCAAACAGCTGAGAGGTTAAAAAGGACCTAAGAGCAGGGGCAGGCAGGCGGCCCAACTGTAAAGCCTCAGAGAGACTTGGAGTGAACCAGTTCTCTGCCAGCTGATCTTTGGCACTACCGGTACGCCACAACTGGGCTGAACTGGTAGAATACTGACACTGATGTGTTACATCTAATGTCTATAATAGTACTTAACATTAATGGTTGGATCTCAACTAAATTCTTTGTATTTAGCCATTGTTAAATTTGGGTCGACATTTTTTTACACTGATCTAAACAGGATTTAAATTTAACTAAATTAGATCCAATGCAATCTTTTAAACCACTATATTGACTATTGGGAAGAGGATAATTTAAAGTAGAGTATCGGTGAATGGATTTTAAAATCCTTTTTCTGCTAGGGTTATGTAGAGGATGTACCTGCCAATTGTCCTGAGAATTGTTGTAATGGGTACTTTCATAGAAAGGCAGATCCTCTTTGCTATGTGATATTCTTCTGCCATTCAGTATGACTTGACTCTTTTCATTGAAGAGTATTATTAAATACTGATGAAGGGCTGAAGCACAACATTGCTCTGCAAAAGTTGATACAGCTATTTGATAAAGTTTATAGTATGCATAGGCAAATTTATTGGGGGAAAAATCAAGAGTTTCATGCTGGTTTTTTTTGACTGCTTTATAACCTGATTGGGAGTATCTTCACTTTCTATTATGTCTTCTTTTGCCATATGGGTGCTAATAAGGGCATCCTGGGTGCTAATGATGGCAGAATATATACATTTTTAATAGGGCTTCAATCTGTGGCATATACTGTACTGGATTTTGATTCACTCTCAACACAATTGCTGCCAATAGTTGAACATGCCACTCAGAATCTATTCCAGAGATGGAATGCTGATACTTTAATTTCAACAGAGCTTGGAAAATTGCCTTGAAGTTTTAGGAGCATCCCTCTACATTCTTTCAGTCCAACAAGTGCTGCTTTTGCTAGTTGTTGTCTTTTGTGGAGACCAGATTCTACCAAACTTATCTGCATGTGGCATCGACTTGGAGGCTGGCATGATTTCAACACTGTCACTGTGCACATTCCAAACTGGATGGCATGTGATGTATCTAGAGTGGAGTGATTGATAAAATTAGTTCTGATTTCTGGGAGATCTCTTTTAGAGAACTAATTAATTCTTATTAATCCAATATTGAGCCATTTTTAAAATTCAATCTGGCATTTTGAGAAGCAGAATAGCTATGCATTCTGCCAACAAAAAATAAAACAGTATAAAACTAATAGATTATCAAGATACTTCAAGTGTTAAAATACAAGCAAATATATGCATTGTATTTTACAAATAATATTTATCACTCTGGTAGAAGAAGATTATGCATTGAGCCAACATTTGGGGTGATTACTTTTTAAATAAACATTAATGTATTGTAATGTAATGTAATATAATGTATTATTCATGTAATGTAATGTATTGTAAAAGTTTTCTCTACTTGAATGCCGTCTTCAGTTTTTACCAGGCATAATGAATGAATTATCACTCCTCCCTTTCTTTTGTTTTGCACAGCAATATACCAGAAAATTACAAAGTGATATTTCTCCAAGGTGGTGGATCTGGCCAATTCAGTGGCATTCCACTTAATCTCATTGGGCTTAAAGAAGCCAGATGTGCTGATTACGTGGTTACAGGAGCTTGGTCAGCCAAGGCAGCAAAAGAGGCAGAGAAATATGCAAAGGTGAACCTTGTGCATCCCAAGCTTTCAAGTTACACAAGTAAGTTAACTTACTTGCAGGAAAAAGTATATTAGGTTATTTTCTTTCTATTGTTTAATAAGACTTCACAGTATAGAACCGTATACATATGCAACTTTTCTGTATCTGTCTCTCTCTGCACGTATTCCTCCCTACTACAGTTTCCTTTAGCTGGTCCAAAAGGACGCTATGATTGATGGCATTAAAAGTCACTGAGAGCTCAAGGAAGTCTTTTCTAGCACTGCTGCATATTCCTGAGAAATGCCATCAATGTTGGTGAAGTATTGTGCCTAGGCATAAAAGCCATTTACAAAGGGTCCAGATAATCAGTTTCTTCCAGGGTCCTTTGCAACTGCAACCTTTTAAATAAATTTCCACAGAAAGAGGAGGCTGGACAAAAAAAACATTGTCTGGGGCAATTGAGTTTAGCAATGGCATCTTAAGTAGGTGGCACACTAGTGAACGTACACACATATTCAGAGAGGTTGATAACACTGCATGGAACTAACCACATGCAATCTCCTGGGAGGACATCAGCACTCAGGGAAAACAGGAATAAAAAACAACAAGTGGCCAGGTTAACAGTCTCAAAGATGCTGTCAACTCCATCAGAAGTTACAGGATCAGGCTACTTCCACTAACCAAGTGTGATGTTGCCTCCATCACATCTAGATCAGCTCATTTGGAGCCCAACTTTGTAAAACTATTAAATGCCTAGCATATTCTTCACAGCAGCCCAGTACATAGTTCTGTGGTCTGTTCCTCTCCCCAAATGATCGTGTCACTCCATAAAAGGCAGTAGACATAATAAGAATGGAGAAATAACTGTGTTCTGTTGTTATATAATGTCTGATATGGGCTCTTACATAGGGTTGGTTAGGTTCACTTTTTAGTTTTCTCCAGTGGTGTTCTTGGGTCCTGTTAGTATTTCTTGATATTTCATTTTGCAGAGTTCCTAAGAAAACCAATGGACATTCCCTCACTTTGAAATACTGTGCATCAAGAGGCTACACAGGAGCAATCCAGTCAATGTGTCTTGTCACCTTCCTATTTCCAGACAGAAAGTAAGGGCTCAAACATATAATCCCACCAGATCCTTGGGGACCCCTCCCCAACCCATGTCTCTTGAAACAATTCTGTATCATCAGTCTTGGGTGGACTGACCTAATAGGCCCTACCTTTCTGTAGGGAAAGGATAGTGGGAGCGATAGTATCCATGTGTGTGGGTCTTTAATCTTCTTACAAAAGAAGATTAAGATCTCTCCATTTTATAATAGCAGGCAATGTATGCAGTGGAGATCTCTGTGGCTCAAGCAACCTTGACTAGTTGTTTGGAGAGCTAGATGAATGGTTGGAAAAACAGAAAAGAAAGATCTCCCTGCAGATACTATTCCATTGTAGATGGAAGGGGGGGACTGCTTTGCTGGCTCCTTTAAATGCCAAGAGCACTGATTTCTCCCCCTGGCCTCCTTGTTATGACTCAAACCTCCTGTCCATTAAGTGGCTTTCAGTATCTTCTTTTGCAGTGTTCTCAGATATCAAAGGAAGGTACCCTGGATCTCTTTGAAGAGACAATAGCAGTTTCTGCATTCATTGTTTGAAGAGCCTCTGCTTTGCTTGTTTTTGACTGTTGGTTACTTGGTAATAAAATTAGATCTGCTTTTGGAAAATAAGGATCTGTCAGGCAAGCATGGTAACTGGTTAAAATCCAAAAACTAATGTGCAAGAGGAGGGGAATAATTATGCAGGCGAGTACAAAAGAAACATATTAAGAATCCAGATATTCTTGGCTTCTTTTCTGAATCCTCTTGGCTTTACATAGTTATTGGAATTTTCCTGCCAGAGACTCAAGATCCTCCTTCCTAAACATTAGAGGATCGGATATGGATGCTGCAAATTTCTTTAACTTGAATACACTTTAGCCATAATTAATATGGACTTCACACTTATACATTTCTTTAAAAGAGTCTTTGAAATTCTGAAATATGACCAATGTAATAATCTTGTGTACAAAATTATCTTCAAAATAAACGTCACTGTTATATAAAGACTGATAAGTACAAGGGTAGGCAATTTAGTGTCTGTCAACTAATTTGGGCTACAGTTCTTTTATCTTGTAACTGTATTGACTGTGGCTGATAGGAAATTAAAATATCTGGAAGGTCTTTAGTTTCCTATCACTGAGCTAATGGGCACATACCATCATATTCCTGTTCTAAAAGATGGATTGCGTCACTCTGGATTCGTTGCAGTGTTTCAAAGTTGGTTTCTCTAGGTACTGCAGATATTGGGTATTGAATGTTTGCTTTTGTCTCTTGCTTCTGTTGCAAACCAGCAACCTTTGCTCATTGCCTGACTAAGATGTCAGGTTCCTAATCATGAGGAATTCATGGATTTCAAAGTAAATAGATGAACAATTTTGGTATGTGTGTGTGAGAAAGAAAGTATAGCATTGTAATTCTCATATTTTATGATTATTTATAAAGATTCTGCTGATATCCAGGGGCATTAATAATCTAAGTAATTAAGGATTAATTTACTTGCTTCAAAAATAATTTAGAATAATTTTCAGCAGAGCAGTTCCCTATTGTTCATTAAAGTAGCCCACCTTTTTTTTTAAAGGCTACTGAGCTTTAAAAAGTGTGACTGCTTTAAAAAGTTGACTTATTCAAGTTACAGCAACTCTTGCAGTACCTGCAATCCTTTTTCAGGATCATGCAAAGGCTTAAAAAAATTGGCTACTTTAATGAGTAGCAGAGATTCTCTACCATGTAAGGTTTGAAATATCTTCTGAATGATTTTCAAAATAAGAATTAACATTCAAAACTACAGTGACATATCAGATAAATTGCACACATGGAGCTTTTGTAGTTAAAAAAAAGTATGTTCCTTTAAATGCCCAAATACTTTGAAACTGAAAGTTATTTTGATTGCTAGTCAAGTTACTTTCTTTCCATATCAAGTGGATTTTCCTCTCCCAGTTTATCGGATTCTGCTTTCTCCAAGCAGTTGCACAAGGTTGTGGAGGCTTATGTATTTTTTTTTAAACACGTTCTTTGCTGAAGTAGGAGATTAACTTTGCTGGCAGTGCATTTGACCTTTGGCAGTCATTCCTGGCGTATCAATGCAACCAACAGGCTGAAATTTAAAAAAAAGCACAACCCATTGTTTTCCATCATCTTATTTTTTTTCAGAAATCCCTGACCCAAGCACTTGGAACCTTAATCCCGATTCCTCTTATATCTATTATTGTGCTAACGAGACTGTTCATGGTGTGGAGTTTGACTTTGTACCTGATGTTGGTAAAGCAGTTATAGTTTGTGATATGTCATCAAACTTCCTCTCCAAACCAGTGGATGTTTCAAAGGTAACTTTCCAAAAGGCATTTTGCAATATGTAATGATCTCAAATTTAAGGTCACCAAGGCCAGGGCCTCTGCTCCTCTTACTGAGGGCTGATCATGTTCAATTTACAAGTTTGGATATGTTCAATGCATTAATGAAGCAGTTAGAACTGTATAAATGTTTTGCAAATGCACTCATAAATGTAATGGATCTTTCTTTTTATTTTTTTCCCCCAATGATAAGTTTGGTGTCATTTTTGCTGGTGCCCAAAAAAATATTGGTTGTGCCGGAGTCACAGTGGTAATAGTGCGTGAGGATTTACTTGGCTATGCTCTGAAAGAGTGCCCCATTGTGTTGGAATACAAAGTGCAAGTAGAAAACTCTTCGTTATACAACACACCTCCATGCTACAGGTAATTCTACTAAAGTTAATATTAATTTCGTTCTTCTAATTACTTAGAAGTTTCTTACAATTGACTTACTTTTTGATAATTAGGGGAAAGGAGGGTCAAGAGAAGTTGGAGAACATACGTGAGGTCAAGTTCTAAGCTGGGAGGGCTTCACAAATAGAGCAGGTTCTTCAACGTTCAGAGGTCCCAAGACAATCTTGAACTAGTTGTTATGTCTCCTCTTTCTCATGTTGTTGTGATTATATGAGGACAATTAATATCTGAATAGGAATTCAATGATTGCAAACAGAATCCTAAATGAAGTTTATTTATGGTTGTTCCCTTTTGACTATTGCCCAACAATACATTGAAAGAGACCAAGATGTATTCAGAACAAACCCAGGCATCTCTTTGACTGGGTGTTTCCTTCCACACTATACTCTTCTATATGTCATCTGCAAACACTCGGTTGAAATAAATGCTCATTGAGTGAACTTTGAGACAGTCACTTTCTACCTCACAGGATTGGCTGTGGTGACATAAAGCAGGAGGTAGTACTATATATCCCAACTTGAGCTCCTGAATGAAATGTTGAGATATGAATCCACCAAGCAAACTAATATGATAGTGGCTGCCATTCCATTAGCTCTGGATCCAATGGCATTTAAGTAGAGATTCGCTTTAACTGAATCAAGTAATTTGGTACCCTCAAAAGAATTGGACCACACTCTTTCTGAGTCTACATATACTATAGCTTTAGACTTTATGGTGCCAGATGGCTACTCCTCATCTAGATTTATCAAGAAATGGAGGGAAGGGAAATAATTTTTCCTTGTGGCCCCAAATGGCAAGCAAACCCTGGCTTAGTGTTTCCCTTTTCGCCATTGGTGAATGTTGGATGTATTGTCCTATCTAGTCCATTTAGTACCAGCACACAAAACCTATTGTGCTAAGCTTACTTTTGAGGGAAACTCTTAAACCCTTTGAAAAACATTTCAGAAAAATTGAGTGCTACAAGAAATGTTAACTCTAGAACAGTCAGTTCTTTGTACTACATAATACAGTAGGACAGGGCAGCCCTCTCTTTCTTCTGGGGCTGATCAACTGCAAATTTCTAAGCTCAACATGTTTGGTAAAGATTTTGGTCACAGATGTATAATTGTACCAGCATATTTGCAGAACATACCATGTTCTAGTATGATCATTATTAACCAGTAAATTGGCTGGCTATGTGCATTCCAAATTTATTTTTAAAATCAAACTCACCGTGCCGTGTATGTGGCTAGAGATTGGCTAATTTTCCAGTTCTGCCTACTACTTTTCTTCCTTTTTAGTGACAGTGTCGGTTGCCAAGATCCTGAATTAAATGTTCAAGAGTTGGCAGTCTGATGCGTTGAATTAAATTCCTGCAGTGTGGATCATTTTAACTTCCTGTCAATAGTGGACTTGCCTTCCTGACATTAATCTTCTGGGTAGATATTAATAACCTTTTTACCCCAGAAGAAATCTCATTTCCTAGCTACAAGGATTTGCCTGATATTTAAATCTATGACTAAACCTGCTTTAGGGACAGCACTGAAACTGGCAGTGTGGCTTTAAAGTGGGTCATTCAGTTATACTTCTCTGCTCCCCCTCCCATCTGTTTAGGGAATAGGGAAGCTTAGTTGAAATTCAGCTCAATGTGGAGAAAGGATTCTGCATTGGCCAACAGGGAGAAGCAAATCTGACTTAGCAAGAGTGCACAGGGAGGCAGGAAAAAAAAAGCTCATGAACTGAATGCTGTCATCAATGTTTGTAGATTATATTCTGCCAATAAAAAGCCAAAAGGCCAGCAAAATCTTAGGGGATGGCAATATTTCTCTTGTAAGGTTTTACATGGTTTCAGCCACTCAGAGTTGTTGAGAGTTGGGGCAGCATGCAAGTTTAATGAACAATAATAAACTGTTATTGCTGATCACATAATAAGCCAGATGTTTAGACTGTATTTGGCATTTTTATCTACCTATCAAGCCTTTCCCAAGGACCTGGGATAGGCAGATGTTGTTTGATAGTATAAAAGGTATCCTTGCAGGGTGTAAGCTGCTCCAAATAAAGCTGCCTTTTGTAATTGACTGATGGTGATTTTGTCAATGCAGTTGGCGTTCAAGTGGTGCTCCAGATGTTTTGGAATTGCACCCAAGGCACCTATTACTGTCGGTACTATCTTTGCTTTCTTTTGTCACAGTTGTTCTTCTTGTTGTAATGTTTTTAAAGAAAAAAAATGGTTAGTTTAAACATTGTTTCACAAACAATGCTTCTTTGGAGCATTCACTTGAAAAAGCCACATTATCTGAGACCAGTTTTACAGGGACTAAGTGTGCACCAGCTCTGTGAAGAATTTTAACTTTTGAGCATAGAGCTTCTAAAGACTGGGGCAGTTATAAGACTATACTGGCCACTGAAAGACTGAAGACACTGTTGGTTTTAATACCGTTAAATGCTGGACAATAGTTTGGTCCCAAGAATGTTGATTTATAATAATACGATAGTCCTCAAATTCAGTGAACAGAGTACTTCTCATAGTAGCTAGGAAGCTGGAATATTTTGGTTGAAAGCCTTCCGTGGCCCTGAATGTATTCAGAGGCTTTGAATACCATTAACCTTGGCAAGAGGATAATAAATACCTTTCAGAGTAGGTTGAAAGGATTGTTGGGAGATTTTGTGAGTAAAGGTACTTGAAATTGTTTGAAATTCTAGTGTACAGTAGTCATACTAGTGATTGTGGTAGATATTATTCGGTTTCAGCTTCTTGCATTGTTCAGAAATGTACAAATGTTTACCTCCAAATCAATTAAAAGCGTTTAGGATGGAGGCTTCTTGTGCTTTTTAAAGACAAATTTAAAGGTCACATTGTGTGAAAATTCTGAGACTGTGCTAATAATGGAAGGCAATCCCAACCTCTGAAGGGCCCAAGATTGGAGAATGCTAGTCTAATAGCTTTTGACGTATTCATTAAACACTATAGCAAAAGAAAACCTTTTGGAAGTATTGCAAACATGCACACAATTTATTATTTTGCAAAACAGAGTCCACAAGAAAGGTCCCTGCTTCAGCAATTTTGTAGCTAAAATCGCGCTAAGCAAATTGCTGGCATTTTATGCTTTCATTTCCATGCAATAACTTTCTTTGAAAATGGCAGCTGATAAAAATGCATGAAAGCTACTGAGTTCTAGTAATTGTTGTTGGCAAGTAGCTTTGCAAAAACATGTTACTGTATATGCATGAAAGAAAGGGATGGATAGTTAGTTCAATGGATAGGTGGGGATAGTGCTACACAGCCAGCCATGGAATTCTGGAAAATGAAGTCCACCCATCTTAAAGTTGTTAAGGCTGGGAAACACTGTCTTTATAGTGTGAGAAACTTTAGAGACTTATCATTTGTCTTGCTTGCTTAAGTTGTTTGAGCCTGCTGGCTCTGCTGAAGCACTTGCTGATCTAGACAAATGTGGTGGGAACTGGGTTGGCTTTGATATACAGTTAGAGATTTCTTTTTTTGGATCTCCATGGTTTTGAGTCAATTCTATGCTAGATTTCCGAAGGCCTAATATTTTATATTAGAGACGCAGAGTAATTGAATGAGTAATTGGTGTGCCTCTCTTCTTGATTCCAGTATCTACATCATGGGCTTGGTCTTGGAGTGGATAAAAAACAATGGTGGTGTTATGGCTATGGATAAACTCAGCCAAATTAAATCACAAATGATTTATGATATTATCGACAAATCTAATGGATTCTATGTGTAAGTATGATTACTGCAAAGAAAGGGGCTTATAGTAAGGCATGGCTTGATGCCTGAATATATCTGTTCATGTCAAGAAAGAGGGAATTAACTTTCTTAAAATTGCCACTGAAACTTTTCCATATGTTAGAGGCAAGCAAAGAAGTCAATGATCACATCAGAGGCCTTGTGCGTCCTTTTCGATAAACACAAAAGAAAGACCATGAATCTATAGCAAACAGAAGAAAATGTCACATGAAACATTACTGTGCAAAGCAGAAATATTTTGGAAAGATATTTAAAACTTTTGTCTGATGTAGGAAGGGGCAGAAAAAGATAACCTTTAAAGTAAATAAATGAGTCCTAATAGCAAGATTGGTCACTTTTATAGTTTGACCTACTGTTTGGCAAAAGAAGTTCAAGAGTAAAATAACAAGCTTTCTTGCAGATTAACAACTTGCTTCAACATCCAGTTGCCTGTTTTCTCCAAGTAATGTGCAAGTGTAGAATAGCTATAATGTAGAGGTGGGTTAACATGTTGCACTTAACTATGATTGAAGAATCACAGTTGGCTGGATGCCTAGAACATGCTAATACAACATTTATGCAGAAATCCAGATTTTAAAAGGAAAGTAATGATTGGAGTAAATGAGGTGTTTATTCCATAAAGCTTGTAGAACCCAGGAAACTATTATTTAAGGAGAGGCTGACAGGTGTGATGTATGTACCTTGAATCACCTTTCCCCTTCAAATCTGGATCTCTTCTCAACCCTAATAAACTTTCTTGAACTTTTAACAAACCGTCCTGAAACATTTCTTGAAGTGGTTCGCAAACAACATGTTAAAATTTATGATGGTATGAACCCAGGCAGTGTGTTCAAGTACAGGCAAAAGGTCAGAGAGGACCTACTCTGCCAATTTAGAGGAATAGCAGGAGCAGTAAGTGGCGGCTTCCACTTCCGGTTCTACTTATTATCAGTTGGATCTCTGAAGAGGAAGAAACCCACTGTCTCATTATCTTTCTAGGGCAGGGGTCTCCAACCTTGGCAAAGCTGGAATTCTGGGAGTTGAAGTCCACCAGGCTTCAAGTTGGCAAGGTTGGAGACCCCTGCTCTAGGGAACTTCAGCTTTCACCCCAGTGTCATGGTCCAGTGGGTCCCCCCTCATTTTTTCACGCTATGGTATCTGGCAGGTAAAATATTATTTCCCCAAGTTTCCGATCAAGAGGTAAAATTAAAGACTAAATTTTCACTAAAGAAAACCGCCCATGTTCAAGTGTATTAATACTGAATAGCAATATTCAAACACATTTCAAAATTGGCCATGTTTAAGTGAAATTTGTTTGCTGCTCTCCATCTTGGAGTTAGTTTAGTCTCAAGCCTGCTTCCTATCTCATTTTTTTAGCATCTTTATTCTGAAATGTGGTTAAACGAACAGTTTTAACAACAGTTTCATATGGATAGTCTAGGGATAAACTTCAGGGTCTTGGGCTTAACACATCACACTAACTGTAGAGATATTTTACTTCTTTATATTTATTTATATAATAATGAATTGGCTTGCCCATCTTACCATAGCGTGGCTTACAGTTAGCAGTTCGATGCTTGGTTTGTTGGTTACTTTAGGTACAAATATTTTAAAAATTCCTTCTAAATTGAGCACATTGAGCTGAAGACAAAGCATAATCATGTTTCAAGAAAGTATTCTGGCTTAAGCCATTCGGCCTTGTCCTTTCCCCTACTTGAAGCTTACGTTTGGAAGGACAAGATAGATGACAGTTTTTTGAATAATTGTTGCCGCTTTTTAAAATGTTACTCCTCTAATTTAGTTACTAATTACTGTTGGTGCTTATAAAACAATTATCTCTTTAAGAGTATGCGTGAATCCAATAATTTATGGCAATTGCCATGACTTTTATATACACTACTCTTGGAGCCAGAGGTGATACGCTTCTTCAAATTAGACACTGGGGGAAATCAGTAGGACTCAGCCTAGTCTCTCTCTTCTGGTCTCTCAGGGCTCTTACATTAACTAATGAGAATTATGCTTTAGTTCAAGAAAAGCTTCAAAGGCTTAATGATTTTTTAAAAGAAAAATTAAGGACTGTTCACATTAATTAGCCTTTGACTCTGATTCGCAACATGTTAAGTGTTCAATGCAATGCAAGCTGGTGTGCATAATGATCATATATGTCCTCTGCATGAGAAGTACTAATCTGATCAGGCTGGCTAAGAATAATGAAAGTTGACCTCCAGCATATCAAGTGGACACCAAATTGGAGAAAACTGCTGGAAAAAGTCCTTTTGTTGAACAGAGTTTTCAAATGCCATGTCATTATCTCTCGAATAAGTGTTTTGCAGAGAAAAGCAGCTTCTGTGACTGATCAAATACCATGCTATTTAGAAACACAACTAGCTCACTAATAATTCAATACATCAACTAATATATATTATAACAAATCAATAGAAAGTGAAGCGGTAATAGCTTCTATGTCTGTGACATTTACAGATGCCCTGTGGAAAAAAAGAGCAGAAGCAGAATGAATGTTCCCTTCCGGATTGGCAGCATTAAGGGTGATGAAGCTCTAGAAAAAGAATTCCTTGAAAAAGCTGTAGAAAACAACATGATATCCCTGAAAGGTCACAGGTAAGACAAGAGATTTGTTAAACAAAAATAAAAAAATCTTTGTCTCAGTTCTTTCTAAGATATGTCTGGATAAAATGAGTCTTGAGCTTGTGGTTTATACATATATGGATACAACCACTTACTAATTCAAGAATGACAAATACCTTCTGTTTTCAGAATTAATAGACAAAAATATAATGCAAAGTAGACAACCTGAAATCTAATGGGTGATTGTTTCAGTTGTGTCATTGTTCAGATCAACAGAATGACCACAGGTGTGTGTGCGGGGGGGGGGGGGGGACTAATGGGAACAGGAGGGATTTCTGAATTCCTGCTGGCTTCCCCACTGAATTTGCTTGTGATAAGCTTGCAGGGAGAAAGTTAGTGGAGAAACCAGCAGGGAAGGTTGCAAGTTGCTTGGATAAGTCTCCTCCCAGCCACTCACTTTCCCTTAGTACCTCATGCCAGCCATTCACACATCCACACACACTCTCTCTTCATGCAACACCCTTGTACACTGTCTCCGACTTCACCACATCACTTGGGCACCCCTCACACCCTCCATAACCTTTGCCCCACCTCTTGCACATCCCCTTGCTCCCTCCCCATCCAGTTTTCCTGCTGCTGGCCTTGGATTTGTAATTTCCTGCTGGCTTCTCCGATGAATTTGCTAGTGAGAAGCAGGCATGGACCTTGAAAATCATAACCGTGTTTAAACTTCCTGCTACCTTCCCCATTGACTTATGGGAAGCTGTTAGAGTGTTGGAAGTGACAGTCACATGACTGCAGCTGACCATAGTAGTGTGGTAGTGCTGAAACAGTCGCAACTTCGCCAAATTTCAATCCCAGAGAAATAATGGTCCTGGATTTAGGACGCATTCTGTAAGTTAGCCCATTTGAGTTACATCGATTAAAAACAGTTGACCTATGATGCACTGTTTCGTCCAGTTGAAAGTTACAAACAGATGAACAGGCACAAGAGTTTTAGTTGTATATAAATAAGGGCTATAGTGAATATTTGCTCATGTATCTTTCAAAAATATAAACTTTTCACTCAAGCAATAATTTCTGGTTCCCAGAGCAGCTTTGACAGTCCTGGATCATATGAATGTGATAATTTCAAGATGAAATACATATACTGAAGACATACTGTACATACTGGATGATTCAGGATCCTTTGCTTAAGGACAGTGAAACATATTCAGAAGGGGAAAAGCAGAATTTAGTCCCTTTTATTGATAATAGTCTGAAAGGAAAAATCATTTGGTTCTGAGGTAAATAAGCCTCATGGAAAATGAGGCTCTTCTGTTTCTGACCTCATGATTGCATAATGTCGACAACTGGAGATTTTTCACAATTACTTTAGGTTTTAGGGTAATAGAGCCCAAGTTTTTCCAGTACTCAACTGGTGCTCAACTGATCCTTGTTGAAAATATATAATTATCTATAGACATATCCCTTACATGTACATGTAATAGAGCCACTGTGGCACAGTAGCTAGAATGCAGTACTGCAGGCTACTTCTGCTGATCACTGGCTAACAGCAGTTTGGCAGTTCGGGTCTCACCAGGCTCAAGGTTGACTCAGCCTTCCATCCTTCTGAGGTCGGGTAAAATGAGGACCCAGATCGTTGGAGGCAATACGCTGACTAAACCGCTTAGAGAGAGCTGTAAAAGCACTGTGAAGTGGTATATAAATTGTAAGTGCTATTGCTATTGCTACATTCTCCATTCTTTTATTCTTGTAGAACAGAATTCTTTTTTTGGCCAAAGAATTGTTTTATTGGCTGAAGACAAATTCCTTGTGTGATTGAACACACAAGGAATTTGTCTTCGGTGCATAAGTTCTCAGTGTACATAAGAATACATTCATCAAGAAGAATGAGATACAACACTTAGTGATAGTCATAGGATACTAAATAAGCAATCAAATCATACTAGGAAACTGAATAAAACAATATAAATCACAAAGATTTATATTGTGTTGTATCTATGGAGATTCTCAATCATCCAGGTCATGATTGTCCAAAGATGCTTTTCCAAAAAGGAACTTTCTCAGTTTTTTCCTTGAAAACGTTTTGCTTCTTATCCAAGAAGCTTCTGCTTTCAAGGGAAAAACCCAAGAAAGTCCAAAAGGCAATACTAAAATTGCCTTTTGGAAAAGCACCTTCGGGACATTCTTGCATGTGGTTTTTCTTCCCAGTTTCATATTGCTGAAAGGTTTGACTTGGGTCTTCCTTTTATGCTTATATTCTTGCAGAATAGTAAAAAGTCATTGTGGTTGAATAAGCATGTTTTCAGTATAAATAAATTATTTTGGCATTTGCAAAGAAATAAATGTCTTTGTGAAACCACCATGCATCCTCTCCCCTCCCCTCCCCATTTTCCTTCATATTTCAGATCTGTGGGAGGAATTCGGGCATCTTTGTATAATGCGGTGACGATCGAAGATGTGGAGAAGCTGGCAACATTGATGAATAGCTTCATGAAGCTGCATTCATAACAAACTAAAGTAGATGATGTTGTGGTGAACCGCCTTTGAAACAAACCAGCAAAGAATTAGTAACTAGAAAAAAGTTAATACAAAATATTCCATGGCATTATATTTTTGAAACAAAGATATTGATATTTTTTTCTGGCCAGTCAAATTTGCATAGCAGTTTTGGCTGACTTGCAGATTTCACCCTAAAACCAGTGCTTGTTAATGTGACTGTATAGTGATCCATAAAAGGATTGCTAAGATTTTAATTTTTAAACAGATCATATCGATTATAAGATACCAAGAATTATCTGAAACATACAGTCTTCGTGTCACACACAATCCAATCTTGTACAGAATATATTTAAGTATACTTTGTTACATTTTCCCGACATTTGTTTCTATCTTGGTTTATTTAATTTGAAGTCTAAATCTTCAGAAAGACTGCCATAAGCTTGAACTGTCCACTTTTTCAATGTCTGATCATTCCAAGTCCATATGACTAAAAGTGCCTAAAGACATTGCTGCCAATTATGCAGACCACAGGCCTCAATCTGGCAAATATTTTGAAACAATATGCTAATGAGCTGAAGGCCTGGCTCAATTGTTATTTTCTAACTGTTAGCATATAGTTAACTATACCAAGGTGGAGGATTTTTTTTAACTTTTAAAATAGTACATTTAAATCATTTTAGCAATCTTATGTTCTCAACACAAAAGTAACATTTCTTTTCCTACCCTTTTCCCTTTTGAAGTCAACATTACTTTAATGTTTTTATAAAACCGAATTGATCTCTTATTGCAGTCAGATGTATAACTTTTTTTGGATCAGATGTATAATTTGGCTTTTTCAGAAAAGGCAGCTTCAGTAAACTGGGATTAAGTATATATTCTACACACTCAATTCATAAAATTAAATTTAAAAAATTGGAAGGAGTCCAACTCCCTTCCCACTCCAGAGTTCCTGTCCTCAGCCCTGCATGTCTCCATCTAGGAGAATTGGTTCCTTTGAAACAACTCATATTCTTTATTTTTGAATGTCATCTTCATATATTGTGATCTTCATACATTCTCCATATTTACACCCTCAATCCAATTATCTCACCTGTCCAATAATGTTTCTCTTTAAAAAAAAAAGGAAAACAATTAGAATCTCATAATTAATGCAGAATTTTATTGCATTTGATATGGGTTCAGAATTATATTTGGCCATATGTTGTGTCCTGGGAGAAGCATTGAGAATTATATGAAGGTGGGGAAAGTGTCCATCTGCAGAGTAAGCTATATTGTTCTTAATTCCAACCATTTTTAATCAGATGTTATTCACTGTCCAATCACATCTAGATTTAAAAGCATTACATTTTGAGAGATCTGTCTTCCTCAGTATCTGCATGTCCTGTTATGATAGTTGATGTACTTTGGGTCTTTCTATTACAAAGTGTCATCTGATATCATGATGCTTGACATCTGGAACAACATCCCCCTCCTTGGGATTTGTATTTGTCTTGTTCAAACCTGGTTCTTCAAATGTGGCATTTCACCCAGCTTTGAATTAAGTTGGGTAGCAGGCTCTTTTGATGAGCTGTTGTTTTTACTCTTTCCAGATACATGCAATTTTATTTTCTTAGTGTTGTTAATTTGCTTTTAATATTGTATGTTGCTCAGAGTCACTATGAGATCAGTCAACATTGCAAATAGGATAAATACGTTTTAAATAAGAATTGGCTACTTTAGCTTAATACTAAAATTGCTTAGGATTCCTTCAGAAGCTGCATTGCACACCATTCTGTACAGTATTAACATTATTTAAACATCTTTACTATACTTAATAATATTCCTTGTTTATTTCTTGGCATAAGGTCTGAAATAGATGTCCATGTACCCATTTAAAGGTGTGTGTGCTGATTTTAAAATAGCAATGTTTATTTTTTGTATTCCACCATTAATTGAAAAAATAATAATAAAAAAACTTAAAATAGCTTTTTGTGATTTGATTTTCTTTTAATATAAAACATGGTAAATGTAAATTCTGTGAGACTTGTAGGATCATTAGCATTAGATATAAAACACTGGTCCCTGTTTGGAGATTGTTGAACATAACAAACTTGTGTATTTGAGGTTTTGCAAGCAAGAGTTCCCTTTTCTGTGCCAACTGAAGATATGATTGGTGCTGTCATCTTGGCCAATGATATTGATTAGTGGACTAGGAAATGATCAAAAGCAAGTCTTGTCTATCAAATCAAAGGAAAATGGTTCCATTAGAGTCAAAGGCACTGATTTTGTGCCTCATGATATGGGTGGCAGTTCTCTGTTCCGAGGAGACTGAAGGTCTGAAGTTTCATTTCTTTGAAACATAAGTTCCTATGTGAACCTTATTTTGCATTATTTTAAAAGGTTATATCCATTTATCTGAAATGCGTAATCTCATTCCTGAGCATGAACATGTTTGATATTAAGCTGTCTTCCTAGAGATAGCTTTATTTTTTAACAGACATGACAGCATAGATCTTTAATCTTGTCTGCCAGCCCAAGATGCATTGACATTAAATTAAATTTGAGAGGTGAATTTAATATCACCTTAAGGTGGCTGAACATGGCAAAGAAAACAGATTTCTTATTTTGGGCCTCCAAATTATTAAATGTTAGAAGTAACAAAGATGGTAGGATATTTTGATGGATTAGTTTCTGTCAAATTAAGGTGAAAACATTATTAGGGTTGGTAATATATCAGCATATGATTAATGTTTGTTATATTACACTCTTCGAATGTTAAATAAAATGTGTGGAAAAAAATCTCTTCATATTTGATAAGGGTGTGCATAATTAAAAACTGAAATGTTACTTTGTTTTTAAGTGAAATCAATCATTTTAATTGGAAAGAAATATCCTTATTTCTGTTGGTAATTGGACTCTCGATAATTTTAAATGGAGATTCATAACAGTTTGTGATAAATTGGCTCCTTTTAGGCTAAAAGAAGCTCAGAAATTATAATTAGCCCTGGATTATTCCTGGATGACTAGATCAAAGAGATTGAAGGAGATAGGAAGAAAAGCTGTTTAATACATGAAGATTTATTAGGTTTTAAAGCAGCTCAAGAACATACGTGTGTTAGTAGCAAAAACAAAAGCTCCACAATTCCAAAAGAAAAAAAAAACCTCAAAGAGCATGAAAGGAAATGAGTATTTTAGTCTTTGCGCAACATTTGAGCTGAAGAATTTATGTGTTGGGGATTTAAATGTGCAGAACTATTGTAGCAGGAATTGTTACTAAAATTATTAGAAACCATAAGTTGAACAAATATAATTAGCTCAATCTGATCTCAAATTCATTCTTTCTGTCTGTCTGTCTGTCTGTCTGTCTGTCTCTTTCCTTCTATCCCTCTCTCTCCTCCAAAACCAGGACTTTAAAAAACACACCAAACAACCTATTCCCCACTGGATCTTTCCTTCCTTCCTTCCTTCCTTCCTTCCTTCCTTCCTTCCTTCCTTCCTTCCT